CTCCAGTCTGTCCGCCTGCCGGGCCGGTCGCTGGAATGCCCCCCACCCTTTCCCGGGGGTGAAATTTATGCGCATTCATTTCTGGTGACGGCCGACGGCGAGGGGACTGGAGCTGGACCGAAGCCGAGCACGAGCACGAGGCGCGTCGATTGCGTCCTGGAGGGCCTCGCTTCTTGAAAGTGGCCCAGTTAGCCCTGGAGTGTCGTGCTGTGTTCCCGCCCCGCCTTCGGCAAAGGAACTCTCGATCGTCTCTCGATCTCTCGAACCGGAGTCGCGTACGTATCGAGTCTCGGATCGAGTGGCCGTCCGCCTCATAAACACGACGGGAGGCGTGCAGAAAGACGAGTGCATTAGTCAGTGGTGGTTTGCCAAGTGGGTGGAGCGCCGCCTACTACCCCACACACATGCATCCCTCCCCTTACTATCCCCTCATATCTTCCTTGCAAATATTTATGCGCCAACGGCGAAACATAGCAAAGCCGCAGCCGGCCAGCCGGAGCGGGCAGACAGGCCCCCCTCCTCCGCCCCCGCGCAGCTAAAGTAAAGGATTTGTACGAAATAATCCATCCAAGTGGAGTGGGTATGACCTCGCGACGCAGTGCACTCTCCCGTTTTCCAATCTCATATCGTTCCCCTCAGGATGTGGATTGGTTTGGTTTTGGTGCCCCCTACCCCAACCCCCTCCCCCCATCGTGGATGCATGTAATTTCCCGCCGCCATTCACCGTCCTTCCGCGGCGAGTCCTCCAACGGAGAGAGAGACGAGAGATAGACAGGCGATAGCGGATATGACGTTTCTCACACTCCGCGCCAAGTTTTTCATAAACATTCCACCAAGAATATGAAAGAAAAATACAAATAGCTCCCGATTCGGCCCGGCCCGGGGCACTCATCGGGCCAGCGCGGGCTCGGCGGCGGGCGGTGCAGGCCACAGCTCGGCACGGCTAGTACCAACACCGGCCACCTCGCTCGGGTCTATATATTTTGTTTCATACACAATTTTTATTACTATCTTTGGAATGAGCCCGCATACTACCCCGTATAAGGAAACCAAACGAGTATTAACCGAGAAATTTGAAAGGGAAAAGAAAAAATTTGAACTCTACACCCCCTCCCCAGTCTTAATGGGGAGGCCTCCTGCTTTACTTCGGTGTTCGGGATGGGAACCGGTGCTATCAGGTACCTGGGGTTAATCCCGTCAGCGACTCTAAGCGTTCGCCGGGGGACCCAGTAGGACCCCAAAGCTCAGGCAGCTGGGTGAGAGCACCCAGTACGAAGCTCTTAGAGGGGCGGGACGTAGAGTGAGACGACAGAGAGACAGAGAGAGACTCAGACAGAGAAGAGGTTTGGTGGGAGCTTCTTGTTTTCGTAGGGTTGGTTGTGTACCCCATGGTACCCCCACTGTCCGGCGCTCCCGTACCGAACATACAGCGTTTTAGGCCAGCTTCAAAGGACTTATCATCGCCTCCCCGACGAATCAAGGAGGCACCACCCGCAACCACACACCGGATGGTCTGGATTGATGGATCAAATACGCCATCGCTCCAGTGCCGAGGCCAACCCGCCGAAGCGGATTGCTTTTTAGACACCCACAGCGGAGTGGCCAGGTGAATGTGACTCTGACCACTACGCTATCACGCTTGTACGTCTGGCAGCGTGTTGGACGACGGGTTTGAGTTGCTTTGGGAGGAAGGCGGTCGAAAAATGTAATGAAATGATGGGATTCGATCCCCGGACCCTGCCATCGGGATCACACGACTTTACGCTCTCGGCCACCACGGCCCATGATGAGGAGATCGGCGTGAGGTGGGTTCTTGACGCAACAGGACTCGACCGACCCGGTCAAAATTTCGCAAGAAGTTGGGGGAGTCGAACCGCCGACCCTAGCACTGAGAACCGACGCCTCTACTCCTGGACCACCACGTCCCATGCTCGGAGTGGCTACGTACGGGTTTGACCGCACTGGGTGAGGACCGGTCAAAATTAATGAAATATTTGTGGAGTCGAACCGCCGACCCTGCATGGAACCGACGCCTTACTCTGGCCACCACGGTCCCATGCTCGGAGTGGCCGTGGGTTGAACCACACTTGAGGAGTAAAATTCGAAAGAAATTTTGTGTGGAGTCGAACCGCCGGCCTGGGCACTGATGCCACGCTCTACCTCTCTGGCCTACCACCACCCATTGGATAGCGGTCGAACTTCTGCGTGGTATTGAACGCCGGCTGGGTAATGAGTCATTTTTAACCTCTCGGCAGTGAGCGTTGGACGCGAGGCTCTTCTGCTTTCAATGCGCTGGCCAAGGCCTGGCCAAGGCTACCCGTCCACCGCCCTTTCCGCCGCCAAGCCGCCAAGCACCGCGACTACACTGTCTGGGGCGTGCCGCGGGCGTGCCGACTGGCGAGCCGACGTGCAGCTTTGACGGTCGCCCCGGCCGTCCCGGGTCACGTCGCGTCGGCCGCGCCGCCGAACCTGTTGCTCGGGAGAGGCTGGCGCGCGAGAGGCGGCAGAAAAGGCTCCGTGTCGCCGTCGCCGCCGTGCTCCTCGGTACACAGCACCCCTTTCTGCGGCGTCTGTGGGGCGGAGCGGCGCGAGGGGCGGCGCGAGGGGCGGCGCGAGGGGCGGCGCGAGGGGCGGCGCCTTGCGAGAGATGAGTGGCGGTGCAGCCGAGCTGGCGACGTCTTGCCTGCCTTGCCTTCCCCGCAGGCAGCGCGCCGCCCGCATCCCCGCCAACTAGTCCAATTCACGCCACCCGCAGCCACCGCGCCAGGGGCCAAGTCGCGCCGGGACAGCGTTCTCTCCGTCTCTCTCGCCCTCACGGCGCGGCCCGGCGCGGCCCGCGGGGTGCGAGAGAGACGCCGCCTCGACTCGCGCACCTTGCAAAGGGCCGTGTCGGCGGCCGCAGTGGATTACCGCGGTGTCGGGAACTTGTTGCCAGCTCCGGCTGGCTTCGCGAAGCTTCGGCTCAACGGCTTAGTCCTTCCGGCCAAACCAGTTTTCGCGGAAAAAAAGTGGCAAACTCAATGGAGCGACCGGTTCCGCTCCGCAGGAGCTCTGCCGGGGAGTGGCGCGATACCAACGCTACCACACGGGCGGAGTGGCTGACCCCTGGACTTTGCAGAAACGAGTTTTCTCGTTCCGCGCGTAGGCGGCTGTTTGACAAGCTCCGGGGTTCGAATCCTGGCCGCTCCTCGCTGTTTTTCCTGCGAGTTCACGTTCGCTGCTGCGGCAGCCGATGGAGGCCCCGACAGCCGCGGGCGGATTGATTCACTCCGAAGGTTCGTTTCGCCGCTCTGTCTCTGTCGCTCCCACGGGGCGCCCCGAGTGCGGGAGAGACAGAGCGACTAAGCGATCCCTCGGAATGGCCAGGCAGGATGGATCTCGATCCGATTCCGGAAACGGTAACAAGTCGTTGCCCCGGAAACGGGCGAACCGGCGAACCGGCGCACCACGCCGAGCGCGGAGCCTCCGGAGGACGAGGAGGGCGTACTCATCTCGTGCCGACGGGTACAGTTCGGGTCCGTGCGGTCGCTCTGTCTCTCTCGCAGCCCCGCGGCACGGGCCGTGAGTGCGAGTGAGACAGCGACATAGCACTGTTCGGAACCAAACTGTCGGGGTCGTCGCCGCTGCCTGGGATCGATCCTGTGGCCCGCATCACTCCGCCGGCAGCACGCGTACATGGCTTGTCTGGCCTATCTAGAGCTAAATCGGCCTGGGAATAACGCGCAAGGTGGGGCGGGGCGGGGCGGGGCGGAATGGGACAGCCCTTTTGACACGGGCACAAAGGCACACAAACAGTAGGTGGGCTAAACATCCTGTTAACATTGGCGAGTTTCCGCTTTCCTTGTCAGGAAGTCGGTCCAAAGACTCGCCGAGACTCGACCATACAGCCCGTTTTTTTTTTTTGGCGTTTCTTCCTCCCAGGAAGGTGAACCAAAAATTGGCCTTAAGACCGCGATAGAAATGCCAAAGTTTGCGCCAAGTGATTCTTTTTTGTGATCCAACGATCGAATTTGGGGGAGGGTCTGTGTCTGTGTGTGTGGATTTGCAGTATCGAATCGAATCAATGAAGGTAATTAAAGGGCGCAAGGAAAGGAGGAGAAAAGGAAGGAGGAGAAAAGAAAGGAAAAGAAAAGTGAAAAGGAAGTCATGTCAAGGTGTGAAAGTAATTAACCTGCAGCGACGGAGAGGTCAGCCAGCCCGCTTGCGCATTCGGTGTCGCTGTGTCACCGCGTTCCACACGTAGGGCTGTACCAGTGTGCCACACAGGGTGCCACACAGTGTGCCACGCAGTGAGCCACACGCAGCGCATGCATTGTGCGATTTCCCCGTGTCGCGTCGCGGCGGCGCGGGTCCGGACGGGCTCTGGTCATATCGCGTTGCCAGGCGTTGCCGCTACGGGTTTGGGGTTTCACTGGATTTCACTCGTGGTGACAACGACGTCGGATGACGCGGTCATGACGGGAGCGCTGCGGGCCGTTGTTCGAGGCGGTTTGGTGAAACTGCGCGGAAAACCACGTGAAAGAGAAAGTGGACAGAATTCGCGCCACCTGGTTTCAAAAAAATAGTGAATGCAGACTGCTGAGGGATTGGGACGCAGTTAACTTGGAAAACTTTGAAAAAATATCGATTCTGTTTCTATTTGTATTGCAGAATAAGTCGGAGGGTTTGAAGCTCTGCTGACTTCCATGGAGTGCTCCACTTGAGGCCAGTCGCTCGCCCGTCCGCCGCGCGTCTCTCGCGCCCCCGCCACCCTCGCCGCCGTCATGGAGGAGCCGTACGCAAACGCCACCCTGGAGTGGGCCAACACGAGCGCCAGGGCCACGGCGTCCTCCCTGTGGCTGGACGCGGGCGGCCCGGGCAACCCGGGCACCACGTCGTGGCCGCCGCTGCTCGGCGACCCGCTCGGCGGCACCCTCGGCCGCCCTCTGGGCGACGTGGCCGACGTGGCCGCGGCCCCCGGGGGTGCCGTGGGGCCCGCCGCCGCCAGCCCCGGCACCACCAACGTGCTGGAGACGGGCCTCATCGTGCCCCTGTACGTCGTCATCTTCATCCTCTCCGTGGTGGGCAACTCGCTGGTGCTGGTCACGCTCGCCCAGCGCAAGCGCATGCGCACCGTCACCAACGTGTACCTCCTCAACCTGGTGAGTGGCTTCTTCGTTGGCGACCACGCCGACGATGCAGGGTAGACCAGATCCTGATGGCGGAGCCGCCGCCGCAGTACGCATTATTGAATAGTCTGGTGGGGCGTGGTGGGGTGCGGCGGGGTGTGGTGTGGTGGCCCACCTGGCGGTTCGCACCTTGGAAATGAAGCAGACCCCGCTGGCGGTAAGCGCATTTGGTGTCACGACTGACAAGACAAGCGGGGCGGGCGGGGCGGGCGGGGCGGGCGGGGCTGGCAAGGCCGCGGGGCGATCATAATCAACCCTCCCCTGCCTATTTGACCTTGGCAGCGCGAGCCTCCCCCCTCCTCTGATTACCCGGAGCGTCTGCAGCGGTCTGCAGCCATTAGCGCCTGCCTGGGCGTTATCAGTCACAAGATGTTGATTGAGGACGACCAAAAACAACTCTCAAAGAAACAAGTTGACCTACCGAAAAAAATGGGATATTTCGAGGCTGGTGGTTAGTTTCTCCGATAATAGTAAAATACCGCGACTTATGAAAATCGAACGTCGTTTTCGATCCTTGTTGCTCGCGCAGGCTCCGCGAACCGCAGCCATCAAACTTGCTCTTGCGTTCACCGCGCGAATGGGGAGGGGTGGGTTGGGTGGGGGCACGGGGCCTCGCGCTTGGCGGAATCGACACGCTGCACTTTCCGTGCTGCCGCTGCTGCTGCCGGGGACGCGGCAATCAGTGTCGTTGCCGACTTTTCGACGAGGCCAAAAAGAATTAAGCCGCTTTGACGTTAAAGCGGACTTCCCCGAACACGGCGTGGCCGGGCATGGCGGAGTGGGCGTGTGGGGCCGAGTGCGCGGCGTGCGCAGGGCCGCGGACTATGACTCCGAGTGTGTGTCTCTCTCGCACTCGAGGGGCGTCCCGTTGCGCGTGCGGGGGAGACAAACGAAAGCGACCCTCGGAGTCAGTCTGCTGGCCGTCGCATGGCCAGTCCGCGTAACGAGGGTCGGGCCGATAACGCCGATGGACGCGTTTCGCCCCAATCCTCGGCCTCGGTCGCACACTTCGCACAAAGCACTGTGCCGCCACGCCGCTCGCCCACCGCCGCGAGCGGCAAGGGCGGGGGCGGGCAGCGAGGGCTGGGGAGCCGCAGGGCCCAGGGCGACAAGCGCGTCGAGGGCGCGAAGGCTCGGAGGCGCAGGGCCGCGCGGGCCGAGGGCTTTGACGCGGTCCGGGACACTGCGCTGCGGTCCACGCGAACTGAGCGCGACGCGGCCGACAAGGGTTTAACTCGTTCCGAATGGCACTATCGCGCTGGCGGGCTGCGCGGGCTGGCGTGCCCTCGCATCCAGATGTTTGACTGGAGATAAGGCCGGGGGAGGCTGGCTGTTTGCGTGCTGGCTTTGCCGCGTGTGGGGCACCGTAAGTGCAGTGCGAGGCACGCCTCTTATCCTGGATTAACCTCCAGCATGCACACGCCTTCGCGCGCGCGCACACTCACACACTGACTCTATCTGTCTCTGTTTCTGTCTCTGTCTCTCTGTCTTCTCTCTCTCTCTCTCTCTCTCTCTCTCTCTCTCTCTCTCTCTCTCTCTCTCTCTCTCTCTCTCACTCACAGTGGCGTGGCATCCGCCCTGCACCCCTGGCACCCTCACAAGGCCGGCATACAAACAGCCGGAAATAAAGCCCAGACGTGCGACAAGAAGGGCACCTGCAGGCTGCTCGGGCCCTTCCTGAAATTTACTACTACGTCCCCGGGAGGCGTCGGGCGGCCGCCAACCCTTTCGGAATCCGAGCCCGGTGGGCCAGCCAGCCAGCCAGGCGGCAAGCCAGACAGGCAGCCAGACAGCCAGGCGGCCGTGGAGGCGTGCCCGCCCACGCTGTGCACGGCACGGCACTACACGACCAGCGAACACGGGGAATGCGCGGAACGCAGTGGAACACCAGGGACTGCAGCAGACTTCCCAGAGTCGTTTTCGTCGCTCTGTCTCTCTCGCACCCACGGGGCTAACCGTATAGGTGCGAGGGAGACAGGGCGAAGCTGGCTGCGCCGCACGGCCGCGGCGTCGCGGAGGCTCTTGCCCGGAGGCTGCCTCTCTCGGCGCCGGAGTCAACCCCGCACTCCGCACTCGTTGGCCTCCGCCAGGCCGGGCCCCGCCTCCCTGGCCCTCTGGCCCGGTGGGAATCTGGGCCATAGTGCAGAATCGCCGTGCCGTAATGGGCGGCCGTGCGTGCCGCGAGGGAGGCTGGCTGCCTGCCTGGCTGCCTTACCGCCTGGCTGGCTGCCTGCCTGGCCGCCTGCCCTCTTCCGGGCTGACGTCCACGGCGTTCACGTCCTTGACACGACTGCCTTAAGCGGAAAACCAATTCCAAGAATACAAAAACACATGAAGCAACAACAAAACAAGAAAAACAGCAATGATTATACGATTTGTTTGTGCTCTCGTGATCATCTCGCGTGACCTTTTCGATAACCGGCCGTGCGTGCAGCAAATTGTCACCCGGCCACAGACAGATAGGAAGCGTTTATTATTTCCAGCGGAAGCGCGTATAGAACGAGGTGTGCGTACGGATACAGAGCGAAAGTCCCGGAGCGTTTCGTTGTCGACGATTCAATTTTGTTCGTCTATCGTGCTGAGAGCACAGAGATTGGAGGCGGAAAAATGTTGCCAGACAATTGTTCATGGATTTAGTTCCCACAGTAATGCCCGAGGTAATGCCGCTGCCATAGTTTTTCTTTTCTTTTTTTTTCAATGCTGTTTTTAAAATAAAAGAACAATCGTCACAGTAATGACGGAACCTTTTTTTTTTTTGACAAGCTGTCAGCACGCCATTCGCATAGACAGTGGTTAGGGGCGTCCCACGTTTTAACTCGTCGATAAACTGACAACCGCGCGGCAACGCAACACAAAACAATTTCAGTTTCCCCCGCGTCTTTTTTCCCCCCCAAACACTTTCTGCTGATGGTCTGCGCACTGTGAGGGCGATTGTACCGCCTCGCTTCTGTGCGGCCGCTTTTGTGGAGCTGACTGTGTGTGATGTGGGAGGATGGGGGTTTGTTTGAGGGGCGCTTGAGAGCGTGTTGTGTGTTGTAGGCACCCAGAGATTGAATGGACGAAGATTCCATTTCGAATTTCGGAGGATTTCTCCACCGCCTGAATTTTAAGGCAGCACCATGCAGGGAGATCCATTTTTGTGGTGTTTCGCCTAACCAGAATCAAAGAGGGGCATTTGTCTAAAAAAATTTATAATAATTAAAAACAAAAGTTGTCAAAAAACATTATTTTTGAAATTTAAAATTCCTGCATGAATTTGAAAAACAACAACAACAATGCTAAAAAAATCTCTTGAAAACTTCATTTTCCTCGCTGCGCTTCAGCCCTTAAATCAGCCGGGGACCGCCTTCATACAATCTTCCACTGCTGTTCATCTCAGCGTCCGGACCAGGGGGCGGGAGGGTCCGGGGGTCCGTGGGTGCAGGCCCCGAGGGGGCGACCGCGACGACCGCGACCACACCCAGGGCGGCGTTTTGCAGTGGACACGCGGCCGCAGCACATTCGGGCGGCACGGCGGCACCTGCCTGGCCGCGTCCCCGGAGGATTTTTAATTGTGAGGCGTTGGCAGTGGGGCCCCTGCGGGAGCATGCGGAAAGGGGGCACGCCCTCTGTGCTCCGAAGGCTTTCACACCACAGCACCGCGGGAGTCCCTCCTAGGCCTCGGCCCTTTCGCCCTCTGAGGCTGGCGCGTCTTCTGCCCTTCTCGCACCCACGCGAGACGCCCTGGAAAGAGAGCCTGCCTCCCCTGAGGGAAGTCCCCTTCGGAATCGGGAGCAGCCTGACTCCGGCTCGCCGAATGCGGCATGCGGTTCCGTTTCGCTGTGGTGGCACTGTGGTGGCCGCCCTGTGACTCCCCCCCCCTCTCTGCTCTCACTCCGGCCGACGGACGCGCCGTCTCGGCCTTGAATATTCAGCGCACCATGGCCATTATATCGATGCACTCGAGTCGGCGCCGCGGATGGAGGGCTTCAAAAGCTGGGGAGGGAGACGCCCCAGATCGCGAAGCAAGAGCGCCGGTGCCCCGCCGCCCGTCCGCGACCGTGCCCGGGACCGGCACCCGCCCGCAGCTTGCGTCTTCTGCCGGGACCTGCCGATCGCTACCATTTAACTATGTGGGCGCAGGTAGGATAACGGTCTTTTACCACCTAGCTACACCAACGTTATACGAGTATCTTATGCCAATATTAGTTCTTTAAGATCCAATCTTCCACTCGGCTATGCGTGCACTCGGAAGCGTGAAGCGCATGAAAACAAACTTGAGCAATCCGATTTTAAAATTGAACCTTCCTCCGCGTCCCCGCTTTCCCGTGCCCACCGATTACGAGATGCTGTTGTCGCCAACTTTGGCGTGTTTGAAGTGAAAGCACCGAGCCGAGCGCGCCGGTCCGCCAATCCAGCCGAAAAGGCTAGCGGACGAGGTCGACCAGACCTGCAGGTTGATTCCGAAAAGACGCTTCGTCACTTTGTCTGTCTCTGTCGAACTCACGGGACGCCCGGCGTCTGCGAGGGAGACGGAGCGATGACAACGACTCATCGGCACCGCTCGGCAGCCTGACTCACTCCGCACGCCTATCACTCTCCCAAGTAGTATCGCTCTCGGCCGCCGCGTTGACAATTCAGCGGCCACAGCCCCGCCCAGCCCCGCCCAGCCCCGGGAGGGGCCGAGGGAGAAACATCGACAACAACAACAACAACAACAACAACAACAGAACTCCCCGACGGCGACGCGGGCCGCCGGGGGCCTCGGGACCTCAACGAAGGGAAGGGGAGGGTCGCACTACTGCTGATGCACCGTCAGGAAGTGCGAGAGAGACGACTGGCGTTACGAAATATACGGACAGAGCATTTTAATTAAATCTTTGCGAAGAGTTCATAGAGACTCCTCGGAGTGAAAATGATGATGTCAAAAGAGAAGCAACGGAATTAAAGTCACTGTGACGTTGACAGTGTGTGCCCGCGCAGCAAGGCGCCAT